TATGTGGTTGACACACAAATGTCCACTGGGTGTTTTTCTGCTTTTAACATTGTTAATCAGTTCTACAAGTACTTTTCAAACTCAGGCAGTATTCTAGACTATCACTACTGATCTAGCACCTTCATTGGGTTCAATATTAATGAATTTATTGAACTGAAAATCTAGGAGTATTATCACAATGATTGAGCTTTTAACAAACACTTTCAGGAGGGCATTGCCCTTCCCGACTTTCAGAGGACAAATTTATTATCTCTTTCTATTGTTGCTTTAACCAATATTTTAGATATAGGCCTCCTGAGATGAAACATTTTTTTCCCTTTATGCTTTTCATTGATGCTTTTCAAAGAGAATTGCCTAACCCTGAAATTTCCCCTTGTTTCTATCTGTAAGACATCTCAAGTACCTAATTATAAGCCCAAAACACATAGTTAACACTGTTTCTATAACTCTGACCAATGTGGATCTTCCTATTATAAAAATTACCAATCATCTCCATAATCTGCTTCTTCCTTGTTCAGGAATTCACTCATCTTTAACAGAAGCCTTAGTCATCTCTCATCTAGCTTTTGTAATGCCTCCTCACTCTCCAGAACTAATGCTTCCACTTTCACTGGTTTCACACAAACCACTTACCTCCCTCAGGTCCTATTAGGACACTATACTGATTTCTCATTACATTAAAGAGAATGACCAAATTCCTTAGTTAGTACCACTTCAAACCACTTTATAGGTTTTCTTGGGCTATTCTGTTTCCATAATATCTTCTTATTCTCCCAACTCATCACCTGCTTTTTTAGGAAAAGCTGCTTCATGTCCCCTTCATCTAATCATTCCCACTCCCAAATACTGATAAAGACTTCTAACTCACCAAGGCCTCTCCTTTTCAAGCAGTTTCTGAACCCCTCCCTCCTTTAGATTATATGGAAAAGCTGTGTATGTATGTGTGTTTTTCCAGTCAATCCTGCCACTTCTAAGTAAGCAGTTCCCAAGACCACCAGGCTTCACTTTTTTGCCAAAAACAATTGCATTTATCCCATTGCATACAGAAACATAAATATTTCACTTGATTTGTATATTTGTTCAATGTTTGTATTGGTCTAGTTATCATTACAATGTTCTTTCTATCAATGTTATCTATCTCATGTTGTAAATTCTTTGGGTAAGGCCAAGATTGTGTGTATTTTCATTACTCTGTACAGCACCTCACAATAGTGCCACACACAGACAGGAACTCAATAAATGCTTTGGATGATAATGGTGATGATGATGATGTAATGCTGCCCTGGTTTGAAAATATCACATATACAGGCCAATGTACTAGTTCTAGGTAAACCACAGTCATGTGAATTGCTCGTCTTTCCACAGAGCTGTCACTCTTTATTATCAAAAGAGGTTACAGTGAGTTATAATTAGTATTTGCTGCCCTGTCAAATAATTAAGTGTAATAAAATGCTTTCAATGAATTTAATGTTAACATGGTATAATTAAAGCCAAGTCTTGAAATGCATTAGGTGTCTATTATATTCAACATTTTGCGTTTCCCCCCCACAACTGAAATTCTTAGGTTGTGTTTCCAACTTGCTCATAGACTTAGAAGAGGGCCATTATTGAGGATAACAACATACTCAAGCCACTCAAATGTAAAGTTGGTTTTGCACTGCCATGAACAATGTCATGCATCAGGAGAGTTCAAAGAATCATCAAGAAGGAATAATTTTAGAAAGGAGAAAACTGAGACCCAAATAGACTAGGTGACTTGCCTAAGGTCACAGAATGGTACAGATGTCCATTTTGGGGGGGAGGGGTGATCTTTTTATAGAAGGTGCCAACAAGTTTCCCCTCTTGCCTCCTGGGGTCTGCAGTGGTGCTGAAAAAAATGTTCATGACTGATTTCAAAAGGGCAAAAACAATTATAAGTAAAGAAAGAACATATTTAACTACTCATCCCTAGGGGATGCAATACTAGCCATACAGCCTATTTTAAGGGTTCACAAACTTGCAGACAAGGCTTGAACCCTCATCATACTATCAAAAGTCAGAATTCAGCTAGACATTTGGTCATTTCTAACCCTGCAGTCTTTCAGTTTCCCAGAATTCCCACATAAATTTTAAATTGTCTTTTCTTCCCACAAAGATTTAAAAAAATCAGCAAAGGACAAGTAGTCCCTGAAATAAGGCATCATTCAAGGAACAAAGAAGTAGAAGGAGGGCTCCAATTAAAATGAAGAAAACCTTTAATTTTTATTTAGGTATACTTGTACGGACACGTGTATATACAAATACAGTTGTATGGGTTTGTTTGTGGTTTTTTTTTTTACATTTTTTTAAGTTCATATAATGTAAGCATTTCAAAACAGCACTCAAATAAGTGCAAAGGAACTGCAAAGCAGGGCAGTACAAGCACAGGACCACACTGAGCTGGACTTTCATACCCAGATGAACACACAATGAGTGGCTTCAATGGGGTGTCAAGAGTAAGCATGGAAAGCGGATTTCGCAGACTCATGGGTAACCTTCAACATGCCAGCATCTATTAAACTGTACAGACAATGGCAGCAAGTCTATTGTAGGGAGATTTGTCTCACATTTGAGAAGCTCAGGGGAGAATGTATGGGAAAAACTCAGTGATGCCAAACCAGAAACAGACCTGCCCATTCACAGCTGGGGGGGGGGGAGTAGGAGGAAGGCAGAGAGAGGAAAAAAAAAATCAGGAAGTGCAAAAGGGGTGGTGGTGGAGGTGGTGGTGTTTAAAAGTGAAGCTAGTGACCACAACTCTGAGTGCAATGAATGGACAGTTGGAACAAAACTGATTTTGTGAAGTTAATAGAACCACCATGGCTGCTGTTAAGGCAATGGGGAAAACACAATTGTCTCTGAAAAAATCCATTGATGCTACTTTTTTTTTTCAAAATGAGAAGGGGGAGAATAACATACCCTGATCCCTCCCAAATCTGTCAGTTTAGATTCATATCCATGTGTATGCCACATGTAATGCTGGCAGGACTCTTGGGAAGGGGGGTGGGGAGGAGACAGTCCATGAAGACAAACAAACAGAAAACCAGACCAAACTGAAGTGCAGAACCATTCCTAAATCCCTCAGCCTCTTAGAACCAACATGCTGGAAAAACACACTGCATAGGGCTTCAACATTAAACCCTTAAACAATGAGGACAAAACATTGATCATCAAAAGTCATGTTGTTCTGGGTCTTGATGTTGTGAAGTCTTGAGATTGGATGAGTGCTATTCCCAGATGAGCCCTGGGTGTTAAAGTGTCATGGTCACTTGGGACTCAATTCTCAACCATGTGACATACTGGATGCTTCAAAGCTCTGTCTAATAATCAATGCATGTTTTATATCCTGAAAGTCTATTGTTCTCACTTACAAAAGACATAAGAATCAAATTAATACTTTATTATCAAACACTATATACAACAGAGGTTGCTAATAATACAGAATTTAAAGAACGTTGTTTTTTTTTTAATGTTTTACTTGTCTTTCCTTTGCCATCCAAGAAAGTACAGTACAAAACAATATTCTAAACTAACACGAAATGTTACCTTGTCTATTGAAGGATACACAGTATCCACTAAACAGACTGATCCTTATTTCCCTGCTTCATGTTGCAAAGCCCTTGGCAACCAGGAGTGCAGGTCACTGGGTTTGGCTGTCCCAGCCCAATGACAGCCAAAGCTGCCCCTAAGGCTTATAGTTCCTGTTGTTTTGTTTTGTTTTAAACACAAAGCTGCTCAAAAGTTGCACTGACATCCTCCAAAGCTTCCAGAGGGTTGTAACAACACAAATAAAGGCCACCAGTACTTTCTTGATGTGACTGAGATTGCCTGATGCCATCAAGTATCCGAGATAACTGGTAACTGCATTACCCACAATTATGCTATTTATAGGAGGTGTAGCACTCAGTCTACTGGCATTAATAGTCTTGCTATTTTTCACTTAATTAGCAGTGGCACTATGGTGAAGCAAAGGGGTCTAATTTCACTGTGAATAACATTAGTTAAAAGAACATCCCTGACAATGGTAGAGAGGGCCATGAGTACATTATTTCATTATCTGTTAGAGACAAATGCTAGAAAACCACAAAAGTCACCATTTCTAAAGTGAAATTAGCACTGTTAATGTAATTACAACTAACTGCAATCATTATGGGGCCATTCTTTACTCATGGTTATGGAACATGCAGCATTATTTTGTTTCTGACTATTGATCCATTTTAGAAGGTGTCATTCTCCTCACACACACACTCAAACCTTGTCGGCCTACAGTCCACCAAAAAAAAAAAATTACTGAAAGCATTAACATAAGGAACAAAAAAAAAATACTGAATGATGTGAAATCTTATTTCAATGAAATGGTGACTGAAATTTACATTAGACTGTGGCTCTCTCTTGAGTGTTGGCTGAAGTTCTAAAAAATGGGTTGATTTTACCTGTGTCTGATAGCCCCACTCAACTTGTCCTGTATAAGGACAGCCCCTGGCATCAATTTCATATATACTCTGAATAACATCAGGTGAGCCCAGATTATATTTGATCATGTATACAACTCTCCTGCGTGTCAGAAGTCCATGGTTGCCTTTCATTCATGTTTTTTTTTTCTAATTGAGGACTTCTCAAAATTCTAAGTAAGAACTTTATTCTCATTTATAAATTCTGTCCATTAACATCACCAATTTTTTAATATAGGTCTTTTAAAAACTAATATATAAAAATCTTTTTTTCCCATTGGAATGCATTCCATTTTTCACATTTGACATGTTCATCACAGTTTTCGTTTTTTGTTCATGTTTTTGTTTTTTCTTTTGAAAGGCTTGGTTTCAACCAACATGTCGTGCAATAAAAAAAGGCTATTTTTTTCCCCATTGGTCTGACACATTTCCCTGACTATGCTTTGGAGTTCAAAGTTCATGGCAGCCTGGCCAGTAAAAATCCCAAGGCTTGCATTTCCTGGTGATCAATTTGTAAATCCCATGTTGGCCATGCTAAGATTCTTTGAACAGGGTCATCCTGCTTTTTTTTTTCAAGAAACAAGATATTTCCCCACATTCCTAAATGTATCAAAGGGATACCACATCTCTCACAAGTTTAAATAGGACAAGCATATATACTCACTCTCAGCATAAAGTATATCTAAATAATGTATTTTCTATTCTAGTGGATCTTTAAAAAAATATTTTGTTAAAGTCTTTGGGACCCCATCTAGTTAATCTCCTGTGGATAAACACATGTTCCCCCCTACTCTTTAAGCTGTATTTGAAAGGGAAAGAATATAGAAACAACAGTTGAATTTTTATTCCAGTTTTCCCTTTTGCCCACCCAATCAATGTTGACTGACTCTCCTGGTGACAGGGGTTTTATTTAGCTTCCCCTGTGGTAGTGGTGGAAAGTGTAGCAAGGAGTGAGTTTCAAGGCAGGATCTGTTTTGTTTCATTTTGCTTTTTTTGGGGGGGGGGGAGTAAAAGGAGAGAGTCAGGGGAAGGCAATAAAGCACTGGAGAACTAGCGTTCCAGAATCACATTTCCTCTGGCCAGTGATGTTCTTTCCTTGGTACGTTATCATTTCCCAGAGGGATATGCCAGGCTACATACTCTATCCACTCATCAACCCTGGCTTGTCAGCCCTGGGGAAGGTCACTTTATTCATAAAAATGCCTCTTTGTGTTTGTAAAACAAATAAACAAACAAAAACATTGTAGCACCATGGTGATCTATTTTCAAAGGGAAAAAAAACTGGTATGTGCTTCCCAGTTACAAAAAAAAAAAAAATAGAGGCACTCACATACATACCCCCAGTGTACTGCTATCTATGGTACCATGCTTGCTTTGTGTTAATATCTGTACATGTAACCTCCTTTCAAAACAAAGCTTCTGCAATGGAGCACAAGTCTTACTGTCAGGATTTCTTTAGGACAGTCATTTAAAAAAAATAAAAACCAGTGTCTTTACCTTTTAGAAGCCTGCTAATTTAGGAACTCCTAGAGGAAATGATGTTACATTATATCTATTGTTAATATCTCCCCTCCAGTCCTGACATGGTGACAAGATGCCCTGCATGATCATCTTACAGTACTGAATGAGAAGGCATAAATATTGTATAGGAGAGTAAAATCCTCCTGGGCTTTTCCTTCACTGACTGCATCTGCCACTATTCTTCCTTGTCCACATACTGATATCGCAGTTAAGCTAACGGAGGTGAGTCCTTTGAAGAGAATGCACAGGAGCATAAGAATAACTGGTGTCATTATAACAATTTGGCTTTTTCATCTGGAGTCCACTTAATTTGGAAAGGGTAAGAAAAATCATGAGCAAAAGGGAATGGGAGACAGAAACTAGTTATGCCTCCCCAGTTGCTGCTTATAGTTCAGGCTGAAAGGAGAAAAAAAAAAAAAGAAATCTGACATCTGCAAAAACCAATAAAAAAAGTCCCCTTCTTAGGATGAGCAGTTAGGTGGATCTCTGATGTTCCAAGATCCTGATGTTTTCTGTGACAGGTTACTGGAGTAAAGTGTGCTATAATGTCAAACTCATCGCCAGGAGAAACAGCAGGATTGCCAAAAGCCGACTGGGTATCCTTGGTGTTTGTGCCGCATTCTCACCACGGGATGGCTCGGCTGACTCGTGTACGGTGTCATCTGTTCAAATGGAAAGCATACATTCCAATGAGATTTCACATCCTTAATAACTCTCCTCTAGCAGCCTGCTGCTAACAGAATTCACTACCCTTCCGCAAAGTAGGGTAATGAACCTTGTGCCATCATTGACTTTCATGTCTATGTAATCACTCATTATTTACAACAAACAAAGGAAAGTCACAGAAAATTGTCTTTTTTTTAACAGTGTAAAAAGACCAGAGAGAAAATGTTTACATTTTGTAGCCATAAATATATAAAGAACTCTAATTCACCTTTAACCCTGCATATCTTTAACCCTGCATTACATGAGACTTGAATATTTAAATGTTCCTTCCTAAGTACAAAACCCTAATGTAAAACAACCAGTTCTTGGGAAAAGAAGCAGTTAACTTTGGTTTATCAGTGGTAGAAGGTAGCTGTCCATTTGCCTCATTTTAAAGCCTTTACATTATTAGTCTTGAATGCCTGTTGAATACCTGGATGAATTTCCAAATTTGAAAAATTAAAGATGAAAATAACCTCCTAAAATGAAATATACATAACACACAGTAAACTTCAATAAGCTGGTACCCACCAGCTCTGCTGCAATTAGTACCTAACTATAATATTATTTTTATTATAAAAGTCTCTAAATCCAGGATTAAATTACTTTAATTTATGTCTGGAAAGACAGCATGGTATAGTACAGTGGTACAGTATAGAAAGGGAAGGGGGGGGCTAAACCATACATAAGTGTCTCTGCTTGCCAAATATTGATTTAGAAAACTATATATTAACATTATGTATGCTCTATTGTATTTTTATTTATTTTGTTAAATATTTACCAATTATATGTTAATCTGGTTAGAGAACAAGGCTATTTCTACACCTCTGGTGTAGCAGATGGAGAGCTGGCCCAGAAAAACCTAGGTTCAAATCCTATCTATGACACATATATTGGCTATTTGATCCTAGTGAAGTTGATCTGTTCCCCCCAGGCAACTCTCTAAGGCTATAAGTTGCAAAGCAGGTGTTGATCTGCCAGTATCTTTCTCCCAGAGCTCCCAATTTCAATTACATTTGAAAACTAGTCAAAATAACAATACCAAATTCTCTGTGGCTAAAGCTTGGAATATAAATTATCAACAAAGATGCATATTTTCCTCTAAATAAAATGGATTAAGATGGTTGAACTTCCCCTCAACCTTTTCCAGAAAGTGATTTTAAGAGATTGCTTCTGACTATTGAGGCTCTTCCTGATTGCATGATTCATACAAGGCTTAATTTTGAAACTAGGAATTTTATGGTGATTAATTCTTTAATATAAACTGTTCGTCTGTATACCTAGCACAGCCTGCCCTAATACTAAAAATCTTCTCCCTTAAAACTGGCTTCTTTGCAGTTTTAGCTTGAGTATTATGTTATAGATGCTTGGGGTTAAATGTGAGTCTCTTTAGCAGAGATTCATTGAATGTCAATGGAATTAAACAAGGCAACACAGGAATTGTCATGTTGTATCAGATCAGCAGTGCATTTATTTCACTATGCTACTCAGTGTCTTACAGTGACACCAGATGAGAGTATAGTAGATGTCCAAGATATTGACCTCAAGAGGTTAAATATGTGCCCTGCATCCTTCAGTTTCCCTACAATGTTATGATGGATTTTTCATTCATTAATTTGCGTTTTTGAAAATGCTTTTCTTTTTTGCCCTATAAACATTGAGAGGCAGCAAAGCTTGGTGGCCTAGGAGACGGGAAGACAGGAATTCAAGTGCTGCCTCTGAGCATAATGGCTGCCTGAGTATTGCAAGTCAATTAACCTCTCAGTGCCCCAGGCAACTCTGAAAGACTCGAAATTACAGAACAATTGCAGAACCACTTTGGTAGGAGCTTCCTCACCTGGAGTTCTTTATGCCAATGAAATTACAAGTCTGGTTCAAAACAAACAAACTCCTCCCATGGAACCAGAAAGCCATACAATTTGCTATTTGTGGTGTAAAGTAGGGGTTCCTTTTATCTCTACTAAAATGACCCAATAAAAGCCTGGAGGGCTGTCTCTTGCTTTGGGCTTTAGTAATTAATTTGGTTCTAGTTCATTTGGTTCATCTTATTCACATAGAATATTATTCTAGAATGTGCCCTCTCATTCTTTATCTTTCCTGCATGAAGAACTTTAATCTTTTTTGTTTCTCCTTATAGGGAAGCAACTTTATAAGTTTGATAATTTTAGTTTCTCTTCTCTGGAACTTTCCAAGGTCAACTTTCAGTATTTGCCCAGGGAGGTATAGGGGGTTTGAAAGAGAGGAGTGAGAAAGTAGAGGAAGAATTGGAAGAAGAGAGCTGGATGAAGGAGGAGATATGCATGGTGCTGTCAAGTTCTTTGGAATCCTCCTTAATCTCTGCTATTATTCATCTTAAAAATTCATTAAATAGGTATTTAACAGAAGAGTTAGTCACAGCCCTACAAACACTTTGCAGGAAAAAACAAACCATTACACAGGATTTTGGAAGCCTCAATATACTGTCAATCAAACTGAGGTGGTTCAAAAAATGCCAGCTCAAGTCTCAAAGGGGTCTGGGCTCTAGCTGCTGACAGATGCTTGAGTCAGTTTTGCTTTCAGATATATGACAGTGTCTCAGTAGATTCCCCCTACTTCCAATGATCTTTTAAAAATATGTTGCCTGCTCTTTCTTCTTGTATATTTTTGGAGTAGGATCCCATAAAGGTACAGGAGATTTACTAAGATATATTTACAATAGGGGATAGTGTCACATGCTCTTATTTATGTAATGGCTGCATACAGTAGATGGGAGATCTTACAGACATCACTATACTTTGTGGATAGGGGCAGCTTGGTAATGATAATTAAGCTATCCAGCAAGTCAGTTGAGGGTAAAGCCTTCCCCCTTCTCTCAGAATCCAAACAAAGTCTCTCTGTGTTTACCATGATATCCTGTCAGCTAATCTAGAGTAACATCAGGAATTTAGGTTATTTTATTTCTCTTCTGTGCCCCATCCCTTCCCTTTAAGAATAAAATAATAGGTTGAAATCTTGGAATGTACCTGAGAGATTATTTAACCCAGCCAATTCATTTTATAAATATGGAAATTAAGCCCCAGACAAATGAAGTGACTAACCTAAAGCCTCTTATGCCATTGATAGTAAATAGCAGAACCAGGATTCAAACTCAGATACCATAACTGCAAGTTCCACACTCCTGCCAACTGTACCAAACTGCCTCTAGAGTGGGACTCCTGGAGTTGGTGCAGTGGATTGAGCAAATGAAGAGTTTGGAAACTTGAAGGCAAAAGATCTTGATGTGAGTCCTAGCTCTGCCCTTTAGTAGCTGTATGACCTTGGGCAACCCACTTAATCTAGTGATTCTCAGACTTCTCCCTCTAAAAAATGGCAATAAGAATAGTAAGGCTTCCTACTTCCCATATTTATTGTAAAGAAAGAGTACTTGATAAAGGGAAAGATCAAAACTGGGGCTGTGACTTCAATGATGTGGAAAAACTCCCCCTATCAACACAAGCTGGCACCTTCTCTGCAACAGAGAACTGCTGAGAGCACTGAGATATTAAATGAGTTGCTTAGGGTCATAAAGTCAACTATTTTATTAAAGTGTCAAATCCAGTCCATTAAGGCAATATCATGGGTCACACAGCCTGGCACTTTTCCATGCTTCTACAATGCTTACATTGACTAAAGTGGGACCTTCATGTAAAGGAGGTCTATGGCATGAGAAGAGATGAGAAACTGATCAGAATATTTGGTGACTTGTACTCTTTTCAGGTTTTTATGCATGACCTAAGACTCTAAATGACAAAATAACTTTTTAAAATAACAAAACAAAATACACTCTAATGGATCAAATCCATTATAACGGATATAATGGATATAATATGAATAAGGCAACTAACACAGTGCCTGGAGCATAGTAGGTACTTGATAAATGCTTGTTCCTTTTCCAATAGAACATACGCCTGAATGGATGATTGCTTAAAATGTCAACAATCCCAGATATGTCTTAGAAAATGTGCAATTTAAATACTTTCCTACATAACCATACTTCATCTTCACAGTCAAACAAATCAAGTCTATGAATTCCTGAATCCTGGTACTCTCCAGCTAGGGTTTAATGAGGGTTCACTGGCAATATTTTTGAAGCTAGTATGTAATACACAGCTTGGCCTATTACCACCCTGTGACTGTGGCAGGCAGAATATGAGAGCACATACAAAAGACAAGTACATTCCAAAGACAGGTAAATTAGTACACAATGTAAATGGCATGCAATTGAATTCTTTCAGACCAACTAGATTTATTAAGGTTGTATCTATGAACACTAGATGAGAAGAAAAATAAGCTGGCTTATCATCTGGTGGCTTTTCTTGATTTAATTTCTAACACAAACATGTTTGACAGAGCTTTTCATTTCAATGTGGCTGTTTGGCTGAATTGCCCACATTGACCACTTGCTTTACTGTTGCATAGGCATTGTCTAAGCCTGTGTAGCACACACCAGCCTGTCCCACCTTGCCCAGAGCCACCAACAGCTCAACTAGAAAGTGGTTGAGGTAGTATTCGAGCTGAGGTCTTCCCAACCCCAAGACCAGTATTGTGTCTACTACTATTCCAACTAAATTATTTCTATGGTCCCTTTACAGCTCTAACATTCTATAATTCTCTACATGTACTGAGAGCAAAATGATAATGATGTCAAAGAAACTGTTTCTTACTGTCCACATAAAATGTATTTTTTTTAAAATTAGAGATTATCAAGCTTTCTATCTAAGCACAAAAGTTTTCATTTTTAAAAAAATGTTTACATATACACAAATATATTAGTTTGTCCATTGGAATGTTTGCAGAATCTACCTGATACCTGTACAGACCAGAGTAGAAATGTTTAAAATTTTTAAATTTTAATAAGAAAATATTGTATAATCACTTAGAAAAAAAGTTTGGACAAAGGGTGAGTTTGAGGGAAAAGGTGAATAATGTTTCTGACTTG